AGCTCTGCCTGCAGCTCTGCGACGCAGGCCACAGACAGGCCACGCCTACGCACGCCCCACCTTAATCAGGAATAGTTTATGTTCGGAAACCGCAGGGCAATCCTGTTTCGATTCGTGATCATCTTAGTCCTGCGCGTCTCTTGGGAAGGGGTTCATTCACTTTAAGCTGTATCAGAATCAATCACTGGAAGTGGTTGGGGTCATGAAAAACATGAGGGATACACGCACAACTGCCACACGGGTCCTTCGCCCCGACTTCATCGCATAAAACGACGATTGAGCAAAAAAACTGCGGCTGTCGGGCAAACCAACAGCTTAAGGAGCAAACTTCATCCCTTTGCAACAAACCGCAATCAAAATCAAATCCCGTACAACACCGAGACGTGATACTAGGTCTGTATTTGTTCTGCTCTTCTGCTTTTGCTGCCTTTTTTGACAGCAGCGCAGGCCTTCCTTCCTTCCTTTCTTCCCTCCTTCCTTCCTTCCTTCCGTCCGTCCGTCCGTCCTTCCTTCCCTCCGTCCTTCCTTCCTTGCAGAGCCCTGAAAAGGAAAAAATATCCCACCCCGAAAAAAAAACATATCCCACAAATATGCCCTCCATAAAAAATGATTTAAAAAAACAATGCCCTCAAAACCATGGACATGCTTCCTTCCTTCCTTCCTTCCTTCCTTCCTTCCTAGCAGCACCGCTTTGAAGCAAGGGAAGCCAAAAAAAACACAAAAGCCAAAAGCCAAGAGAAGCCACCAAAGGCCAACAAAGAAACAAAAGCCAAAAGCCACCAAAAGCCAAAAGCCAAGAGAAGCCACCAAAGGCCAACAAAGAAACAAAAGCCAAAAGCCAAAAGCCAACAAAGAAACAAAAGCCAAAAGCCAAAAGCCAACAAAGAAACAAAAGCCAAAAGCCACCAAAAGCCAAAAGCCACCAGCAAAAACAAAAAAAATCAAAAAAAAACAAAAAAAATCCAAAAATAAATACCCCTCCCAGTAAAAGCCACCAGAAGCCAGCAAAAGCCACCAGAAGCTAGCAAAAGCTACCAGAAGCCACCAGAAGCCAACAAAAGCCAGCAAAAGCCAACAGAAGCTAGCAAAAGCTACCAGAAGCCACCAAAAGCCACCAGAAGCCAACAAAATAGCCACCAGAAGCCAACAAAATAGCCACCAGAAGCCACCAAAAGCCACCAAAAGCCACCAGAAGCCAACAAAAGCCACCAAAAGCCAGTAAAAGCCACCAGAAGCCAGCAAAAGCCAACAGAAGCTAGCAAAAGCTACCAGAAGCCACCAGAAGCCAACAGAGATACCTAATGCCTAAACGTGAAAAAAAATTCAAAAAAAAAACGAAAAAAATCATAGAAAAATATGAGTTCCGTATTGTCCTTCAACTGGTTGGATCCAAGAGCGAGCACCTTCATCTCATGTCCGCCGGCAGCCGTAGAAGCGCGTCCAGCTCGGCGTGCAAATCCATGCTCCTCGCGGTGTTCCGGCGAACGTCCGGCGAACCGGAAGCCGTTGGGAGAAGCGGGAGAAGCCGCTGGGGGTCCTCCGTTGGAGTCGTTGGATCCCGGGTTGGCGGACCCCCGCCGAGCAGGTCCAAGCCCGCCAGGGGCGTCTCGAAAACGGTCTCAACAGGACCATCTGAAATGGCCGGTCCGTGTCTAGACAATGGCCTTTCCGCCAGCGGGGACCCGTCCTTCCAGTGGCCAGCTGGATAGTGCGGTTCATGCCAACGGAGAGGATCTGGAGCGTGGTCGCGGTGGTCGCGGGAGGGGCAAGGTCGACACACCGAAGATGATGCTGTTTGCCTGTCACTTTGGAAGCTATGGAGTATGAATCAGTATGAACCTAGATCTTTGAACGACTGTACTTTGCCCAAGTGTAAGAAAGGAAGTTCCCTTTCAGGTCCCCCGAAGACCATTCTTTTCATAGTCTTTGGCTCTCAGGGTGAGGATTTCTCACCAGCATTTTCTGCCACTCTATTGACCTTTCGAAAGCCAAGTAAACGCACATATTCATCAGCCTCCGAGGCACTGAATGCTCGCATCCGCAAAGGAGCATCATCTTCCCCAAAGTAGCTTGGGGGCTCATCTTCCTCTCCAAGCAATCAAAAGAAAAGGACCACCTCCACATACCACCACCACCCCAATTCCAAGTCACTCATCTTTCCCTGGTTCTTCCCACGTCGCGCCTGGTTTTGGGAATCCCGGATCACGGCCCCGTGCCGTGCACGGCGCTGCGTTCCGGCGCAACGGGCAGCCAGCTGGACCTCGTCCGAGTCGCATTTAGGTCCCGGTGACCAAACGGGGTTTTCTTTCAGCTTAGCGTCCTTTAGGATGTGGCTCCAAAAGCCAAGCCCAATAGCAGTGGGCCCAAAATATCTGGGTGTCCCGTTCTCGGAAAGCCATGGCCATGTGGTCATGGGCTGTACAAAGATCAACCCAAATGAGGCTTTCGGAGCCACCGGGCCAACCGGTTGGGTGAAAGCTTTCGGTCTCACCCCCTTCCGCACCGAACGGCCCGGGCCTTTGGGCTTGGCCAGGTGTCCGTCTGTCGTTCTGTGTGTCTGGTTTCCCAATACAACGGGTTCTCCAAAAAAGAGCGCTGACAAGGAAAGCCACCCAAAAAGAAGGTTCTCCCACAGCTTCTTATTCTCCTTCCCTTTCTTGTTCCTTTCAACTTGATCTGCACATGCTTCATACCCATTGACTCCCAAACGATGGACATGAGGTCCAGCTGGCCCACTGGAACGTCCGACTTCGGGCCACTTCGCCCGGCATCTCCCTTTTTCTGCCTCGGATCTGTCCACAGGTGCGATTGCCCACGACGGGGCCAGGGAAAAAGAGGAACGGTCTGCCATGCAGTTAGACATGCAGACGGGAGACGCAAATCATATGGACATATGCAAAACACCTGGACATCTCTGAGAGCCCACGCGAAGAGAATTGGGAGCGTTGCCTATTCTCTGCCTATTTGTGAAAGAGGCCTTGCCTGATCTGGTCCGCCGACCTGCGCCCCGCCTCTCTTGGTCGACCTCTCTCGAACGACGTCCTGCCCTGCACGAACGGCGCAGCGGGGCACGGGACAAGAGAAACCCGAGCGAGCTGGATGAACATGCGGGAACAGAAAGTCGATAGGTCCAGTCAGTGCAGCACTCAAAGAAGGCTGACACCAAACACACCAGTATAAGAAACAGCGCCTGATTGTGCAGTCATGACTCATGTTTTTTTTGACTTTGGCAAGCTCTCCATAACTCATTTTACCCCTAATATCCCCTAATGATAATAGTGGTGGATGGATTGACTACCAGGTGGAGTCGTTCATTGGATCGTCGGGCGTTGGCTTCACTTACCGAACAATGGATCGTTTTAGACGGCACAAATCGCCCTGTGGGACTGAACTCAATGCACTGAGCGGAACAAGGAGTCTACCCCTGATCTCCATCACACGATTGGAGCAGTTCTCCCCGATTGGAGCAGTGCGACAGAGCCACAGGTCTCTTCAAAATCAACCAGTACTGCTATGTCGTCCCGAACAGCAACGCATATCGCAAGGGTGCTCAAACAGCCAACAGCCAACAGCTTTCGTAACAAAATAAACACGATGAGAATCGATGAGATCCGCCCCAAACAAGCAGGCGCTCTTCGCCCTGGAAGGATGCGGCGCAAGACATATCAAGAGCTCCCCAACCGCTCGTTGGGTCGTTCGGAGATCCACGGCCATCGGAGCCGCCCATCGATCGGACATCTTCTATATCAGCTTAGCACTGTGCGTTTGTTCGGGTCACCCAAGAAGGGTACAGTGAGGCCATCGCTAGTAGGTGGAGTGACTTTCTGGGACGTTTCGCCTCCGAACCATGGTGGACTCTGCATCAAAAACTTCGGAGCTCCATTCGCCCAGCTACCCGCTGCGGCAAACGATTCACCCAACTCACCCTCTCACAGCGTCAAAATGCGAAGCGCTTCCAGAAACAGCATCCCGCCATCCGGGAATCGCCTCGGGGCAAAGCACTCGGATCCCCGGGCCCAACGCGTCGGAAGGCGAAGAGGGCGTCTGGTGGTGATGATTGACTCCCCTGCCGCACTGCCCACAGCTATCTTTTGATGCAAGAACTCCTGCAAGACTTGTGGCCTATGTTAACTATAATATACATGTGAACCAGTGAGATGAACGGTTCTCCAGATGCCTCTTTAGGAGTTTGGCCGAACCACCCATAAATCCAAACCAAATGGAGGCGAACCGTGCTACCAAGCCCTCCTGCCAACCCCCAGCCAGCCTCGTCTCCTCTCGATCACCTGCTTCAGCCTGTTCGGGCGGCGTCGAACCTCCTCTGCCACTTCCTCCAAGAGTTGCATGTACATCCTCAGGGCATCCGACGGTCGGGTCGAACAAGTCTCCCCTCGGTGGGAAGATGTTCTTGTTCAGTTTCATGGTCTTCTGAGCTGGTCAGTTGATCTTGTCTCTCAGGGAAGACCGCGTTTGAAAAAGAACACCATGAATTGGGAACAGCGAGTGTCTTGATCCTTGTCTTTTCATTGATCCTGTAGGAAAGTGTGCGAATTCGATCTTCTGCTCAGGTGGAATTTCCAAAGAGGCCATGATGGGTCGAATGGTGTCGAAAATCACTCCTGCAGCCTCCGTCCGACTCGTTCATACACTTCGCAGGGCCGCGATGTCAGATCGACATTGTCTGAGGATGACATGTGAACGCGTTGGGCGGCCGTTTTTTGGCATCTGTGCGGCCCAGTTTGTCCCACAAAAAATACCTGAACCATGTGGTGTTCACACCGCGGCAAATCAGATCAATGACATCCCGGACCGAATTGAATCATGTCTTTCAAAACGATGTTGAGCACTTGTGAAGCAAAAATTACAATCTACTCTACCTGCAATCCGTCGATTTTGAATGATTTTGACCAACACTCCCACAACTTCACCGGGAGTGGCCACATTTCAAACACACCCCGAACGCTGAGAACTTCTAACCGTCAAACCGTAAAATGGGAGACAGGGATCCTCCCCAGCCGCAATGGTCGCTTCCCAATTGGCCACTGCCCCCCTCTCCACCCCTCAATGACCTCTCCTCTCCCCCCAAAACCCCCCCAAAACCGCCGGACGTCCCCGGCTTGTTGCCCGCGCCGGGCGGCTCGTGCACGTGCCGGTTCGGCGAGATGGCCAGGTGCTCCGGATGGTTCGTCCAGGAGTGGAAGGAGTCGCGGTAGGTGCCTTCGGGCTCCGTCCAGGCGGCTTCGGGATCCTCCTGGATCAGCACCTCGCGTGGCTCGCGGCGCGGGAAAGGCGTGGCTTGGGCCGGAAGGAGGCGAAGAGGAGGGACGAGTGTGGGACGGTGTGATGGAAGAGAGGGGGTGGTCTGTGAACAGATTCTTGTGATTTGGTTGGTTTGGAAAGCAATAGTTTCTGGAGAAACCACAAAAAAAAGTAGAGATTTCCCAGAGGTAGGTAGAGATCTCTCCGCAGAAGCACACAAACAAAGTAGACCATTCTCAAGGACAGTAGATAAGATTTGAAGTTTCTGACGGAAACGTATCAAACACAGCGACTTGCAAAAAACGATCGAGTGGTCTTCCGACCTCCTGCCATGACCACAGAGATCACAGGTAGGCAGGTAGTCATGAAAAAAGAGTCCCACTGCAATGACCACAGAGTCTAGGATCGAAATGAAAAAACAGAAGGTATCGAAACAGAAACCGTCCTTCCATCCTTCTGCCACTGAATCCAGGAAAAAACAACACCGAATCGACGAATCGAAAGAAAACTCCCACAGGGCTCTTCACTCAACACGCTTTTCACGCCTCCAAACACAGTGTGCCGTCCCGCCTCTGGCTTGGTCATCTCCACCTCGCCCAGGGCGACAAGGCATGGCCCTTTCTTCTGGTCCATCTCACCCTGCAGAGGCTCCGGCCACGCCCGGCATGTGGCGACGTGGTCTGTGGTCGACATGGGGAGCGGATGGTCTTGAGCCAACGGCGGAGGTCGATCCTTCTTTTTGGGCTGTCACGATGAAGAGGAGAAACAGCAAAGAGGGATCCACATGCTGAAAGTGCTGGGGTTTGGCGTTTTTAAATGACTCGCGATGAAACGGGTCAAGTTAAGTTCGATCTGCAGCTATGCTTCATGTACACTGCCAAATTTCTTGGAGCAGCCGGCAACGTAACAAGAGTCTTGGGGGCAAAGCTTCAACCTGCAGCTATGGCAGTCATATGCAGTCATCCTAGATGAGATTGAATCTAGAACTTAACATATATTAACTATCCATTAAGTTATCAACTTATCAACACTTCACTAGCAATTGACCGTTGATCAACAATACATCTAACTGACTCTGTGACCCCTCTGCCACCACCGTCTGCCACGCTAAGTGCCCGCACCACGTCTGCACGGGGAGACCTCACAAGAGATGGATCGAGACTGCGTTTGCCCATCTATGTACCAACAAAGGTATCCACTGACCGGTTTCATAGGACCTGGAAAACCTGGGGTACCGGGACTCCTGGGATAGTCGAAGAGTCGGGTTCTGACCCACCGGGAGTTGGTAACTCCGGGTGTTGGATCAGTCAGCTGAACGGATCATCGCCCGTTTGGGATCGAGCTCCGACCGACCCCGGCGCGCGCGACCCGGTCCTTTTCGTTGAGACCATCCGCTGATTGTCTGCCGCATCGAGAACAGGAGCCGAGAACAGGTGTTGCGAGACGGTGTCTTCTTCACATTCTCAAACGACTTGGTTCTCGACTTGCAGGGATCATTCCTAACACATCCGTGCTTCCGATCTTTTCCCTTGTACGTCTTTTTCATCCTTCTTCTTTCCAGACTTGCAGGGATCAACTGTGGTTTTTTGAGAACCAATGAGTGCAATGAGTGGAACAAACTCAACCACTCGTCGGGCAGTTCACCCTGCGATTGAACACTGGCATAGCTTGTCAGTGCTTGTCTATATTGATCTCCCGGAATGGTTCACCAAGATAGCCACAGGTGTGGAAAAATCACGAAGATAGCACAGAATGTCAAGGAATCCACAGCTATTTTCGTCTGATTTCTGGTGAGGTCCGCAGAGGCTGCAGGATTCGCCACCGCTCAGGAGGCGAATGGCCGGATCGATCTCTCTTTCAGGCAGGCTTGCTCGCCAGGTACACCGTCCGCACGGTGAGGTAGGAGAGAAAACCCATGGGTCCGAAGAGCAAGGTCAAAATCACGCATGGCCTGAGAAGAGCGAATTGTGACCCGAAGAGAAGAGGGCTTCCCTGGGGTGGGGGAGGAGAGAAGCCCTGGGTGGACGGGATCCAAAAGAGAACAGTGAACCAACAGGGCTATGAAAGTCCGGGGAAGATGGCCATTGAAAGCCACCACACAGTTGAGCACTAGAAACATGTAACACAAAATGATGCTGGAGATCAACAAAATGATCAAAGCTTCTTTCAAACCTCCCCAAATCCAACCGAAACCAAACGGACACCCACCCCGCCCCCCAAATCCAAGTCCCTCTCACCCTCCATCTTCCATCCAGTGGCACCACCAGGAAGTGGGGCACCTTCTGCTGCTGACTGTCCAGCACTTCACCCAAGCCGACCTTGATCCGATCCGATCCGAACGCTGTCGCCCCACCCAACTAACGATGCCCCACCCATGTTGCCGAACGAGGCGAACGTGGCGTTGCGATGCGGCTTCTTCGATGCGAAGGTCCCTGGGGTGTCACTCACCGTGTGCGAGGTGTAACTCACCGTTTCACTGCTTGAAGATCGCCTTGGGTCATAGCCCAAAACGATCGCCGCGAAGAGTTCGCAGTCCACACCCTCCAATTCGCAGGTCGTCCTGGTCTTCATTGGAAGGCTCACCGATCCACACCCCGTTTTTTTCGTACGGTTGGTTGGACATGACACGTGGGTTTTTTGGGTGGAATTCTTGGTTCTTTGACCCCAAACATGTGGGACAACGAGGACCCTTAGGACCCTTTTGGTCTCTGACACGCCCAGGTCATGGTCTAGCATAGTCTGGTGATCCGACGGATCATGCTGCTGCGAGCAGCTCGCGCCAACGATCAGATCGTCCAACCGAAACGTCCCAGCGCTTCCCTTCGTTGGTCCTTTGGGGGTTGTTCGGACCTGGGTCGCATCCGTTCGTCTCCTCGAAGAGTCACGTTGGTCCAAGGGGCCAAAGGATCGAAGACGCAATAGTGCAGCCATCCTCAGGTGCCCCGCATCGCTACGTTCGTAGCGTCTGAGCGCTCCGTTCGGGTGCGATGCCCGACATGTTACTAGTAGCGAAGCTTGCTCCGTTCGTAAGGCCAGGGTCTGATCGCTCCTAATTAGTATTGTTGTGAAGCCATCCTCAGGTGACACCGAGACCTGAGGTCTTCGAACAGAAGATGTGACCTCCAACGAGCACGACATCATACTTGTCCAGTTTGGTTCGGGACATGAATCTTGATCAGGCCAAGAGATAGTCAACAGGGTTGTATCGCAGTGGGAAGGACATTGGAAGACAAAACCCTTGTGCTCAAAAGGCCTCCCAGTACGTCTCCTTCTCTAAACCACAGTACGTGGTACAAGGTACGGTATCACAGCTCGCCCAGCACCAGTTTCCAGCAAAAAGCACACCTCTCAGCACCCACTCTTCACCTGCTCTCAGCTTCTCCAAACCATTCTGAACCCTTTTCGTCCCACCTCCCACCTCCTGCCGCCGCACACGGGTCGCACCGCTTTGCCGGTTGCCGTCCGCGGCGCCGGCGAAGACGCCGTCGGGGTTCCGAAAGGCCGCCACGATGCCGTCGAGGCTGGTGAGGTCCACCGAGGCGGCCTCCGGGTCGGGGTGCGTCAGCAGGAAGCCTCGCACGCGGGTGGGGCCGGGCGGGGCGGGTGGGTGGGGGGCTTGGGCCGGGGCTTCCGCCGGTGGGTGGGGGCGGGGCCGTCAAAAAGCCCGGTGGGGACCGCGGAGGTGCAGGATGGGCAGGTGGTGTGGGGTGGAGGTGTGGGGTTCCGAGTAGAATTCGATGTGGCCACTGGAGATTTGGAGCGGGGGCTACATATAGGATCCAGGCTTGGGAATCTGTGCACGTTGCAGGACGTACCAGCGAGGTCAGCATTCGGGGTGAATCTCATCAACAGCTGCATGAATCCATGAGAGATTGCTTCGCATCTCCCTTCATTTGGGTGATCTTGATGCACTCCCTGTGACGGACACACCGGTTCCGACACTGGATTTTGATGGTAATCTCTTTCAATGCATTCCGGAATTTGATCCATCTCCCTTGGCCTTTTGACGCCTTAAAGGTCCCTGTAATTTGGCCTTTGACATCGAAACACCCTGTTCTTGCTCGAGTTTGACTGACTAGTCCAGGAATGAGTGGTTTCAAATCCCATCTGGGGTGAACACCCAAACACACCCACTGTGGTGAAACGGACAAAACAAACTTAGCACACGGCTGAGTCCAATTCCAAATCCTCAAACCACGGGGCAAAGACTCATGTTCGGGGGGAATCTTTGACTCACCACATGGACGTCTCCACGTCTAAACCCGTACGGCTCCATCTCTGCACCGCAGTCCAGGTGGCCAATCGCTGCCACGTAGAGCACCGCGTTGAAGACCGGAGCCGCCAGGGCTGCTTTGGGCAAATGCTCCCAGCTTGGGAAGAAGATCAAAAGCAGCCAGGTGACCTGAAAAAATCGGACATCCCAGGGCCTTTCGTGACCTCTGACGCCTCTGTCTATTGGAACGCCTGCCGTTCCGCCGTTCGCGACGGCGGGCGCCATTCGGAAAAAACACCTCTTGAAGGGGCGGACGCGACGCGATGCTGGACTCGGCGTTGTACTGTGGCGTTGTACCGTGGCACTTGGGTGATGGCTTGGGAACCCGCGGGAACCTCAAATTCGCCCTCGCCCTGCCCTGTTTGTGTTCCAAGGCGTGATGCGTGGCCCAAAGGGGATGGGACGAAGCTCGAGAACACAAGAGCCTGTCAATTCAAATGCCTATCACATGAGAAAAAGGGGCACTCCACTGAGCGGACTGGGATCAGAAATGGGACCTTCAAATCGAACTCCCCGGCACTCTTTTCTTGGGGGGGCCGCTCCAACTGACGCAAAATTGATGAGACATTGCCTTCCCCCCCTCGTCCCGCCAACTCCGCCGCGTCACGAGCGGCGCGGCATTGGCGATGGGAAAGAGCTCGGCGGAACTTTTTCCTCGAAAAGGCTTGTGACCCCGGAGTGAACAGCCATCCTGCATAGCCGCTAGCCATAATTAGCCATAGCCTTGAAGACCACTTTGGGTTGTTCCTCAAAGTCCCAGGTAACTGGCAGTAGTACCGAACGATGAACCCGAGACTCTTCAAACAGCTGAATGAAACTTTGGGGAAGGTGCACTTCATCAAAGCATCCCCCCATGTCCATGGAGGAGGTGGAGTCCCTCGTCCTGAACACGTCGTGGGGTGAGCTCATTGGGATGAATCAAATTTGTTGTTTTCAAGCCACCAAGCATCTCGGGGGGTTGACCTTAAGACTTAAGGACTGCGCCCCAAAGCGAAGACACGGTCTTTCTATTGCAAGCCTCCCTCTGTTACTCTTAAGCTGCTGAACTTCATCTCCAAGCTTCCCAGCAAGGAGAATGTCTCAGCTGATGCTGGCGTGGACACAACGGACACAACACCTGCAGCTGCAGCTGCACTGGCAGCTGTGGCAGTGGGTGGACTATGGCGAGCACCTGCGAGCAGCGGCGAAAAACGAAGCTGTTCTCGATGGCACAGGGTGATGTCATTCACCTGCCACGAGCTCGATTGATTTGACACCAAAGGATTTCATTCTTTTGGCTCGTGCTGGTTCCTATAGGTTCCTTTTGACCATCTCCCATGACTGTCCTGGAAGCCTTTGAACAGGTTAGAACATGCCACTGATGTGCTCGTTCCCAAACCGCTCATTACGACCTTCACCCCTCCGACCTGGCTCCCGCTGCCATCCCAAACGAACTGCCCGTCTGCCGCGACTGTTGAAGAAAAGCACCGCTGGAACACGTGAGCCAAATATATCGACTGGCGAACACAAGCAAAAGACAGGGAGGACATCTAATTGAGGACAAGGCCTTTTCACTTGAAAGCAGCTGACACAAGTAACCCAAGCAAAAGACAGGGACATCAATGGGGAAGAGGCTCCAATTCACTTGAAAGTGCCCGAACGCACTAAGACCGACCTGGAAACGCCATCCCTCACAGCCAAAGGGCCTTTCGCCCTTGAACGATCGTAGCTTGGGCTCGACCTACCTCCGAACAGCCCATCTGTGTCATGGGAACGAGAGCGAGTGGAAAAGCTAGATACTCGCTAGAGTATCAGAAGCTCGGGAAGAATGGAATCCGTCGTTTTGGGGAACTTCTTGTGTCAACTCTTCAACACGAACTCCTCACACCGAACCCTGCGCCGCAAACCCGGTCGAGCCCTGCGGGCCGAGATCGACGCTCTTCCTCCGCTCCCGCCTGCTGCCACGAAGGCCACTCCCGAAAGCAGCAAAACCACAGCCACGCAGGCACGCCGCGGCGCGCGGTGCGCGCGCTGGGCACGCGCCATGGCCAACTGGGGCGATTGAGAACAGCCTAAAGTGGATGTGGCCGTTGGAGTTGTTCTTAGTGGGACAGGCGTTGTTTTCACCAATTCTCTCCATATGTTTGACGTCCAGGGTCTTCTCGGACTTCTTTTCTCGAAAACTCTTGAGTTCGCTGACAGCTAGGCAAAGTATCAGTACTGCTACACAGAAGGTGGTTGATTGAGCACGCTAGACTTGCAGGTTTAGACGTGCAGAAAATCCATGAAGTGCATCGACGTTTGCCATGGGCAACAACGCGCGCGCTGAAGCCGTAGCGAAGAGCATCGCCGCTCCTTCAGCCGGGGGTCCTGAACATCAAGCTGAGAAGAAGTGGGGAATGACGGGAATGATACTCGGAACTGCCGCGCACTCTTTGTAGGGAGCTTCTCAGAAACCCGTGAGCGAATCGTCAAACGCATTCAACACGTGTCAACACCACAGTCTCATCACCGGGTCAACGCAGCTCGGTCAACACCAACCCCATGGATCACCGCGGCCCCCCTGCCGGCCCCATCGGTTCGGAGCCCGTCCACCGCCCATCTGCGGTAGAAAAGGCTTCGAAGCGAAGGAGGAATTCATGTTGCAACATGACTCCTTCTCTTGGACCAGTGTGTGCCCAAGATCATCCCAACATATCCAAACCACCTACGGTCCTGTAGGAGGCCGTGTGTTCTCCGTGCGATATATAATCGCACCACGACCGACCGACTGTTCGGAGCGAATTGGCTCGGTGGGCTCTCCGGTGGGCGCTCGACGAACGAGTCAGTCTTCGTCTTCCACTCGGCTCCTGGGCGCCCCGGGCGTGGAACCACGATGGGCCACGTCCAGAGTCTGGCTGAACGCCAAGAGTCCAGGCCTGGGCCGTGGAGAAGGGCCGCGGAGGCTGTGGCTGACGCTGAAAAAGAAGAGCGTTTCAACCGCCCATCTGGTTTGGCCTGCAGTCAGGCCATGACTCCACCTGCAAAAGTTGAACAAAAACAGTGGAGGGAGACATGTCCAGTCTCCATTGGTCGAATGACCAGTGCCTTAGGGAATCTCCTTCCCTCGGGTGCCTTGCAAAAGGAAATGACACTGACCTCGATCAATCATCATGCGATTCCGGTTGATGATTGAAATCCTCATACCAAAACCAGGTGAAACCTCACTCCACCTACGTACAGCAAACATCATGCTGCTGCTGCTGCTGATGATGTTCCTCGCATTGGACATTCTTCGCACTGGGCAGCTCGGACTGCAGGGTCACTCCCAAGCAGCACTGCTTCTGGAGCGCCTCGGCACGTTCGCCGGCCGCGAGCCAAATCCCTGGGATTTCAGCGGCCGTTTCCAGTGCAGGTGTTCCCGTTTATCAAAGGGCAAACGCTGACTGTCCTTTTTCATGAATAGGATATACATTATATAATATATTAATGAATTATATATATATATTACATTATATATTATACTCAATTATGTATTATACTCAATGGTGGAAAACTTTGCGTTGGCTGATGCAGTTGCGTTGGCTGATTGAACCCTTGGAAGCACAAGGAACGCGTCCAGCAAGGTGAGATGTAACTGGAGAGCTTCCAAACCCGTTTGTCGGTGAAGTCAACGAGCTCTTCTACGACAAATACCAACGAGTACTGGATTTGACTTGGGATGAATTCCAAAGCCTTCCCACACTTTCGAACACAAGACCTTCGAACACTTTCGAACTCGGTCAGTAGGTGGACCTCGGTCTGAGTTCGAATCCATTCACCTCAGCTTCGGCCTTTACCCGTCTCGCGTGGTGTGCCGTCGTCGTTTTTCTCACGAACCACGGCACCAGGTTGGGCCATCAGGCGTGCGCCTCTGCGAACAAGAAGAAACTCCAGGTTTTTGCACCTCTGTTTTTTGGGGCGACCAAAACGCTCCAAAAACCTGGGCTTCGTTGATTTGAGGGTCTTCGGCAGTTGGGTTGATGGCCGGCCTAGCTAACATCCTCCAGTCCCCTGGAGGCCTTCGTCAGCTTCCGAGCCGGGCGCCGGAAGGCGGCGCCGGCCAACGCGCAGCCGGCCAACCTGGGGGACCGGGGAGGCGAGCGAAGCCGGTGACGCAGTGCAGCAATCACTTGAAGGCAAGGTCTGACAAAACTGATATGCAACAAGCATACCACACATACAAATCATAGTGCAAATTTGCTGGGCTCCATTGAGCTTTGAAGGCGATGGCTTGTCTATCAAAGTGCTTCCAAGTTGGACTCAGCTGCGTTCAAGTAGCAGCTGTGCCAGGGCATATGGCCCTGGCCAGTCTGGCATCCCTGGCGCCGCCTTCACCTGCAGCACGCGGAATGGACCGAGGAAGCCTTTGTGCAAAGCCGCTTGTCTCGCGGCATGAACTATCCACGGCATCCACGAGTCGCATGGAGGGTGTTGGTTGCAGGTCTTCACCTAATCCCAACAAACTCGCCGTATCACCAGCCATTGTTGTCCTTGAGTGTTTTCTCGGTCTTTTCATGTTCTCGTCGCGACCCCTCGGGCTTGGTCCCGCAGCTTGGTCTGTCGATGTCTGCCGGCCATGTTGCCGGCATGGGTAAGGCGTTGCATCGCCGCTTGCACCAGCGCATGCTCTCGCATACTTTGGAGGTTCGACTCCTCCCTGGTCCGCTTTCCTACCTTTGACCGTTGAAGAGTGGGAAGGATGTGGCACGGTGAAGGAGCTCACGACTCGCTTTCGGCCGCGCTGCAACTCAGCCGCCTCACCCAACTCACGGGGCCGTCCCACCTGGTCAATGAGCTCGAAGGCCAGCCTGGGACGGCCCCGTGACCAGGTTTCAGTCGCCGGATGGGATCGTTGGTTGACCTGCAACTGTGAGGGGTGGTGTGGTAGACAAGGGTACCTGGAAGTCCAACGAAGCCATGTGGCATTCATCATGTTGGTAGACTACCGGACGTGTGCTGCGGCCGCGCACAGTGCCGTGGGTGTGGTGGGATCGGATAGAGGTTTACGAAGAAGAGATTGCCCCCGCTGGGTTGAGACCTGACCAGAAGCTGGAGTAAGACTCCAAGCATTGGTTTCTTGGGGCACCTCAAAAAAGCAAGCCACAGGACTTTCAAGCTTTTCTTCCACTGATGATCAACCACAGGTTCTGGTCTTGTATGTGAATCTCCCTCACTCACTCACTCTCCCTCTCTCTCTCGGCCTCAAACGCTGCTTCTGGCCAATGAACCTCAGATCTGCGTCTTGCGGCATCCACGAGAAAACTATTTTGGACTAGGCGGCCGCGCAACCCCGTGCATGAAAGAGATGAAACAGCAAAAGACCTTGGCAAATCCAACGTCTCACCTGGAACTGTTTCGTGGGTCTTGCTGACCGCCCATACCCGGCCTGGCTTGGCCGAAGGTCAGAACGTCGGACGTTGCGTTGCCACCAAAGCAGGAGGATGTCTTTTCTCGTCTGAGTCGAGTCAACAAACCTCGTCCAAGTGGAGCCAATCTTCCAGAGACAACGACTCGAACCAGGTGCCTCCCTGAGGACCCCCACTGGGCACTGGCCGCCTGCTGCGCAGCTTGCAGGCTTGGCACCAAGGGGAGCCTGGCGGGTCCAGACCGTCCACGGGTTCGTCCACCGTCGATCCCTTAAAGATATAAAAGATGAACCGGTGTTGGTTTGGAATGGAGACGCACATGAACTTGTTGACATTCATGATTTCACGTATTTAAACAATGTTGCAGACATCTTCCTTTGGTGACTTCTTTCAATTCTTCTTGTTTCTTTTCCCCGGAGCCGCCCGGTTCCACCGGAGACGCCCCGTTGCGATTCCACTCCGGGCCACTCTCCGGGGCCATGCCACCCGGCGTTGGGCGTTTGGAGGGTTTGGAGGTTGGGATCACGAGGGAACGGGTGGTTCGGGTGGTTTGGCGAACTTCTCTTCAACCCTGGTTATTTGTAGCTTGTTGTTACTAGTAGCGATGGCCTCCACCTAAGAGCAATACTCAGCAGCTTCAACCTATAGCATGCCGGGCAGCTGGAAGAGCTCGGGCCCGCCCGGACATGTAGACTCTTGATGAAATTGTATTTATACCAGGACCTTCCAAGTTCGGTGGTTTAAGGACACCTCTTTTAACCTCCAAGAGGCTATTTACATACACCTCCAACTTGGGGTCCTGTTATGTGTTTAGGGTTGATCCTCAGCCTACTTCGGCAGTGAAAATCCCAAAACCGTTTTGAACCCAACCAGATCCGCCTTCCGGGGCCCTCGCGCTTGCAAAGGCCGGCGACCTTCGTTCCGCCCGAGGCTCCACTCGGGTCGAAGGGACGCGGATCCGATGGGCTCTACTCAGATTGAAGCCAACTGCGCAAAGGTTTGTGCACAAATCTCGAACAGCGGTGCCTTTTTGGGGTGCGAAGCCTTGGGTGTGGATTCTGAATATGACCACCATAGATTTGGCGAGTGAGCGTTTTTGGACATCTTGCCTGCTGAGTGGGATTCGACCCCATAACTTTTAGCCAGGAATGGTTGAGTACGGCTTCGACACCAGCTTCTGTTTGCTGAAGCACTCGCCTCCTGCGCTAAGCTTTCATCGGCCTGGCAAAGTTCAATCAAAATGCTGCGACCAGCGCGTTCACTTACACCTCCAATACCACTCTGTGGTTGCCCGTGCCTGTTGACATGATACCAACTATAGACTTCTATACCTGCTATCTACCATCAATCCCCAACCAAGGTCTCAGCAAAAAGACCAGTCAGTGTCCCACCAGCCGCCTCGCACTACTCGCTTTCTTAGGCTCTACATGTGATAATCTACGACAATCCAACATGAACTCTACCCAACTCTTGGCAATGTGAGGCAAGAGTTCCAGATTCGGATTTCATTAACAAAAAACATGCAACACACCTGCACCTGGCCGTGGCCCTGCCGGTTTTAGCGTCTTGACATGTACTATGAACGACATCAACTCTGTATTTGGCAGGTGAACTTACCATGCGACAAACGGATTCCTCAAGGGGCTGGGACGACTTTGGGGTTCTTCTTCCCCTTTCTTTTCGGCGCCTTCCAACCACTCTAGGTGACGAGGTAGACAAGTCACACGTTTGGTGGCTCGGGGTGTTTGGGTGTTGGCCGTGTCCCCCACCTCCGCCTCCGCCTGTGTCCGTGTCCCCCCCCACCTCCAGCGACAGTAGCGCAGCCACCAGCTCTGAGATTCGAGGCACATGTACCTCCGCCCCACGTGCCGAGGCCGTGCGCGGCGCTGAAGCGGCGCTTCCGTGACGGAGGCCTTGCTGCGACAGGCCTCTAGAAGGTCACGAAAACCAAAGGCCAACCTGTTGGCCACGACGTAGTCAGTTCGAGACCTCCAAAAATAGGCCGATGAAGCACTGCCAACAAGGACGACAAAACATGTGATATAGAGACAAAGGCTTAAAACATCCACAAACGCTTCAAGCAATTGTAGACACATCATATAGTATTTTTGCCAAACCCAACACCCTTCCTTGTGTGCCCCTCTCCTCACTTCACATCTCTTGCTCCGCCTCCTCAGAACCACCACCCTCCCGCGGTCCCACCCCCCGGTCCCACCCGCAGTCCCCGCGCCGGCCGCACCGGATCCACCGACTGCCGCCGGAGCGGGCCAAGGAGCGAGGCCACCTCCGACCGGTCGGAGTCGGGAGTCGGTGGGAGGACTGAGGCACTGAGGCCGTGGAGCACGTTCGTCGTGCGGAAACGTTCGGGAGTAGATCTTTTCCCCCGCCATGTTGGGATGAAGGATGATCATGAGGACGAAGTCATGTTCCACAAGACGGAAGAAGTGGGCCTCTGTGAAAGAGACGGTGCATTTACAATGTACAGAACAAGTCTCTGTTCAACTCCTCAAGCAGAATCAGGCTCATCTCTTGGAGAGTCTTTCGTATTACGCGCGGACATGGGCACGGGTGGGATGTCTCCCACCGTGGACCGTTCTTCCCACCTGTCGGTGCCAACAAGCGACAGTGGTATATCTCTCAAACGCCGAGCTCCGGTGGCACCCACCGCGCCCCCCGGACGGTCGGCGCCCACCACGGGCCAGTACACGGCGGGCGACGAGTCCGCGCGCCCGACGAGGAGTCCACCTCGCGAAGGAGGTTCTGAAGACTGGCCCGCTCTGAGGCCACCTCGGAGCGAGCGGAACCGTGTGGATCTACCAGACACTTGGAACCGTTGAAGGGCTGCAGAAATAAGCCAGCAGCCTAGTCTAGTGGGTATGGATTAACATGTGGAGAACGGAAACCGAGAACGGCGCGGCTGTCACCGGATGGGCCGAGGCCTGCGGGAAGCCTCACCACCTTTCTGGTTTCGTTCGACCCCTTCGTTCGGCGCAGGTTTCTCCAAAAAGATCCAAAAATAAGTTTAGGCAGGGAGACTGGTAGCGGAACGGAGCCGGCATTTTGTTTTCTTGTTTTTTGGGGGAATGGGCTGCTTGGAACAAACATGTTCCTCAGATGAAGCAACATACCGAGTTACTATCGCTGTTTCGTACATGTTCCTCAGTATCTTCCACACAATCTTTCACATGAATCATGTTTCATCTTTCACCATTATGCCCCCCAAAATACCATCCGTCCATGCAGTTCACATACTCAATGCGATATGCATGTATCACGCCATCGATGATAGTTTTATGATATATTTTCATGATTTTCCGTGATCATCTAAGCGGAACTCACATGGAAGTGGATGGCATGGCCCTCAGGTTCAACCGTCGCCGAGAGGCGCCGCAGGCGAAGGCCACCAGGTTCAACCTCGGCGGTTAGCGGCGCGAGGCACGCAGCCCACCTTGGGAAAAATGGCGACCTGGCCGTATTTTCTCTGTTTTGCAAGCAAAGCAGCAACACCTGGCAACAACCAACCCCAATGTTTTGGGGATATTTGAGTAGATCGATGTGTCGGAACCCAAGCTGCTTTGAGCGTGGCACATGCGACCACATGCTCGAAAAGGGTTTGCTGAAACAATTCCTCGAGCCAAATCGGCCTGTTTTGGTATCTAGTTCCACCCAGACCTCTGGGTATCCATGGGTGATGTTTGAGCTTCCCATTTCTCAAACACCAACAGATGCCACGACCAAGCGACTGTTCGAACAGAATCATCAGAATCAAAAGTATCCATCAGAGTTTTACACTCCCTGCGATATACATGTCGGAAGTGGAAAATCCACTACCCGTTTGGTAATTATTCGGAAAAGGTCATCCGAAGTTCCTTGCGACCCTTTCGACAGCGTGCTGAAACGCCTCTTTTGGACCAACCACAGCCAGCCACCCAGCCACAAACTTCATATGCATATATGCGTCAGCCTCCAAAATGTTTCTGGATCAAACCGACATCCCTGTTGTGTGTGCATCAGGCTGGACTTCAGACATTCCCCTTCTGGACTGGGCCTGGGCCACCGGGGACAATCGACACCTTCGCAGCCGAGCGCCGACCTGAAGGATCCTCTGGGAACCCCAAGCCCCTCCACCACATCCTCTTGCTCCGCCTGCCGAGTTCACCGCCACGCAGGCGCGGCGCACCGCGGTGTGGAGAACCATCGACGTGCCGGACCACTGTGACCCAATCGTCGACGGTTGGGTCGGCCGAGAAGAATGGAACTCTTCGGTCGGCCGAAAGGCGAAGCGGAACTCTTGGGGAACGTGATCCGGAACGATGAATTGTAGCCCCTTTTCCCCACAATCTGGCGCCGTTGTCTGTGTGTTTGTGTGGTGAACTGAACCAAGACATACCAAAACTATCATCCTTAGGGGACAAAACATTTCATTTCTTTCGCCAAACTGTTTGTTTTGCGAAGACTACTTCCAGCCCAACTCGCCCCTGCGCAGCCCCTGTGCGAAGCCTGGCTGGTCGCGCTGGCCCCACGCAGCAGCAGCTTCTGCGCCGCCGCGCGGCCTGCGCCATGCTGAAGCAAGCGCCGCGCCTGGGAAGGGCTCCCCATCCTGATTCTGTTGGGCTCAAGTACCATGGAATTTGAACTAGATGAGCCACTGCGGATCCCGGACCAAAAGGGCAGCCACTGCGGATTGGCAGAATGGTAGCTGGCTGAAGGGTAGTCACACATCGTTGAGACAACTGCGAGGAAGGGTTGGCATTCCAAAGGCCTTTTGTGCGTATAATGGATACCCCTTAACATCTATCAATAGAAGCTCCTTCAGGGTGTCCTGGTATATCTTTCCCAAAATCCAGGGGGCTATGCTATCCGTTCCATGGAACGTGTTCCATGTGAGCTGATTTCCACAGGTGGCACAGGTCCCGAACTCTCGGCCTTGCAGGCTTTGCATCGTTTCCATTGGCACAGGGTGCTTACGTGAAAGAAACTGCTTTGAGTGGTGGACTTCAACATGGACTATTCCAAACCCGCAAGACCAGTCTTCAGGACGTTTGGTGTTCAGAGCGGCCACCGGATTTGGTGCAAAACAACCACCCAACGCCCACCGAACACCGAACGCTCCCGAACCTCCTCGCAGGCGGGCGAAGGAGTCTTTGCCTTCGACCGGAGGCTTGGCGCATCCACCTCCGTGGGCGCGTGATGACTAGGCGAGGGAAAGGGGTGGACGTGGACGGTACGTGGGCAGTGTTTGTGGTATATGGTGCAGGTACAATGACAGGTGATGACAGGTGCGATACTACCTATGTACAATCAATGTGGGTATAAAGCAGCGCCGGCAGCACCAGCAACAAGCCAGCAACAGCAAATCAGCAGCAAACAATGCGGTCAAGCACAAACATGGGGGGCAACATAAGAATTCAGTCACAGGACGACGATGTGTGGAACACGTAGGACAACAAGCCTGCGAAGGATACAGTTCAGATTATACAAGCATAGACCCCAAACAGCTTCAACACGATTCGTTTAGACCAATATCAGTCAAAAATCGCTTTCTTCTTTCACCCCAAGAGCAAACTGCTTCATAAGTGAATTTTTGTCGGCATTGACATCGCTATTTGTTCGGCCACATTCCTCTCCAGCAAGCCGGGCCACAGAGACCAGCCACAGAGTTCAGGGGCGCGGCCAAGACAAGGACAAGAGGAGGACAAGAAGAGGACAAGGCCCAGCCACAGAGCCCAGCACAGAGGACAAGGGGAGGACAAGAGCCCAATAAGCCGTCCATAGCACACGAGCACGCGCGCGCTTGCCCTGCTCTCTCTCTCTCTCTCTTTCTCGCTCCCTCTCTCTCTCTCTCTGTGTTTCTTCTCTGTCTTTCTCTTTGCACAGCGCGCTCTGACCGCGCCTTTCTGGAGCGTGAGCATGCCCGTCCATAGCACACCAGCGCGCGCTTGCCCTGCTGTCTTTCTTTCTTTCTTTCTTTCTTTCTTTCTTTATCTCTCTCTCTCTCTCTGAGCGCGCCTTTCTGGAGCGTATTTCAGAGCGCGCGCGAGCGCGCCGTCCATAGCACACGAGCGCGCGCGCGCTCGCCCTGCTCTCTTTCCTTCTCTCTTTCTCTCTCTCTCTCTCTCTTTCTCTCTCTCTCTTTCTCTCTCTCCTTCTTTCTCTTTAAGTTTCTCTTTCTCTGCCTTTCTCTCTGCAGAGCGCGCCCTGAGCGCGCCTTTCTGGAGCATATTTCAGAGCGAGCGCTCGCCCTGCTCTCAGTTTCTTTCTTTCTTTCTTTCTTCCTTTCCTTCCTTCCTTCCTTCCTTCCTTCCTTTCTTTCTTTCTTTCTTTCTTTCTCTCTCCCGCTCATTCTCTTTAAGTGTTTCTTTCTCTATCTTTCTCTCTGCGCAGCGCGCTCTGAGCGCTGTCTCTGTCTGTCTCTGTCTCTGTCTAGCCCCGCAGAGTTGACAAAGTTCAGGCGCGCGGCCAAGAGAAGGACAACAGGAGGACAAGGCCCAGCCACAGGGGCGCGGCCAAGGGGAGGACAAGAGGAGGACAAGGCCCAGCCACAGAGTAGACAGAGTTCAGGGGCGCGGCCAAGAGGAGGACAAGAGGAGGACAAGGTGCAGCCACAGAGCCCAGCCACAGAGTTGACAGAGTTCAGGGGCGCGGCCAAGAGGAGGACAAGAGGAGGACAAGGCCCAGCCACAGAGCCCAGCCCCACACAGCCCAGCCACAGAGTTGACAGAATTCAGGGGCGCGGCCAAGAGGACAAGGCCCAGCCACAGAGCCCAGCCACAGAGCTCAGCCACAGAGCCCAGCCACGGAGTTCAGGGCCGCGGCCAGTGAGTGTGGCCAGCTCTTTTCTTTCTAATAGAACCCCAACAGTAAACTGTTTGGGGAAAAATTGATTTCTTGGTTTGCTCTACTTTCACCCCAAGAGCAAACTGCTTCATCAATGAATTTTTTGTCGGCATTGACATCGCTATTTGTTCGGCCACACTCCTCTCCAGTAAGCCGACAGAGCCCAGCCACAGAGTTCAAGGGCGCGGCCAAGACAAGGACAAGAAGAGGACAAGGCCCAGCCACAGAGCCCAGCACAGAGGACAAGAGGAGGACAAGAGCCCAGTAAGCCGTCCACACGAGCGCGCGCGCGCGCGCGCTCGCCCTGCTCTCTTTTTCTCTCTCTCTCTCTCTCCCTCCTTCCTTCCTTCCTTTCTTTCTTTCTGTCTTTCTTTCTTTTGTTCTTTCTTTCCCTCTCTCTGTCTCGTTTATTCGCTTTTAGTGTTTCTTTTTCTGTCTTTCTCTCTGCGCAGCGCGCTCTGGCCGCGCCTTCCTGGAGCATGAGCGCGCCGTCCATAGCGCGCGCGCTCGCCCTGCCCTCAGTTTCTTTATCTCTTTCTTTCTTTCTTTCTTTCTTTTCTTTTCTTTTCTTTTCTTTCTCTCTCTCTCTCTCTCCCGCTCATTCTCTTTAAGTGTTTCTTTCTCTATCTTTCTCTCTGCGCAGCGCGCTCTGAGCGCGCCTTTCTGGAGCGTGAGCGCGCCGTCCATAGCACGCGTCGCCCTGCTCTCTTTCTTTCTTTCTTTCTCTATCTCTCTCGCTCTCTCTCTCTCTTTTTCTCTGTAAGTTTCTCTTTCTCTGTCTTTCTCTCTGCAGAGCGCGCTGTGAGCGCGCCGTCCGAAGCACACGAGCGCCCGCGAGCTCGCCCTGCTGTCTCTCTCTCTCTCTCTTTCTCTTTTTCCCGAAAGCATTGCGAAGGGTTCTTCCGGAAAATCCCTTGAACACTGACACTTCGACACGTACACTTACACACTGGCACTTCCACCACATTCGCACTACAGACACTGACACTTCAACATTGACACTGATGGGTACGCAAGCATGCTTTGAGCATGCAAGCATGCAATGAGTTGGCAAGTGTGAGTGTGAGTATGGAAAACTAGCACGGGAGATGTCCTAATGAAAAAACATTTCCCCACTTTATAAATTCTCTCTTAAAGGCGGAGGGCGGGACGAACAGCGTCAACCGAAAGTGCAACCCTCTGCGGAGATCGTGCGCGTCGAGTGCGCGAAATACAGGCGAGAGTGCGATTTGCCGGGAGATCGCGCGCGTCGAGTGCGCGAAATGCAGGCGAGAGTGCGATTTGCCGGCTGCGCGCGCAACCCTCTGCGGAGATCGTGCGTGTCGAGTGCGCGAAATGCAGAGGAGGGTGCGATTTGACGGCTGCGCGCGCAACCCTCTGCGGAGATCGTGCGTGTCGAGTGCGCGAAATGCAGGCGAGAGTGCGATTTGTCCGGTCCGCGCGCAACCCTCTGCGGAGATCGTGCGTGTCGAGTGCGCGAAATGCAGGCGAGAGTGCGATGTGCCGGGTGCCCGCGCGACCCAATGCGGAGATCGTGCGTGTCGAGTGCGCGAAATGCAGGCGAGAGTGCGATTTGGCGGCTGCCCGCGCAACCCTCTGCGGAGATCGTGCGTGTCGAGTGCGCGAAATGCAGGCGAGAGGGGGATTTGCCGGCTGCCCGCGCAACCCTCTGCGGAGATCGTGCGTGTCGAGTGCGCGAAATGCGGGCGAGAGGCGTGGAGTATCTGCATGGGGAGCTGGGAGATGAGCACTGGCGACTTTGTAGTGCAACTGTAGTACGCGGAGTAGCTGGGGAGCTGGAAGCTCAGAACTGG